AGCATATTTCAGACCAGGCTTTGCAAAGTATCAGGGTAGTTCTGCCAGTTCAAATGTGACTGTCCGCCTACTTAAATACTTTACAGAAGATGTGCCTTCATAGGTTAGCAAATTGAGGTGAGGTTAACCAACTTGCTCAAGGTCATGGAGTGACAGAGTTGGCAATAATGGAATCCAGCCATCCTGGCTGCTGGGTCTGTGCTCTAATCGTTGGATGACTCTCCCAGATAATTGCAGGCAGTTTAAACATTGTTTTGCGTAAGTGCACGTGAAGGCCTTCAAAAACTTCTGGAGAAACAAAATGTTAATAGATCTGCCTCAGATCTCTCGCTGTATTTGGGTGTACCTTGAATTGCGCTGCTTGATGTAGGAGGGAAGTTTGAAGAAGTCTTTGTGGCTTATTTTTTAAATGTGCACTCAAAAGGCATCGGTTCTATTGATTGTATAGTGTAGAAAGGCTTATTGTGTAGATTTAGAGGGTAGATCGTGAGATACAGCAAAGATAGATTACACTGTAATTACATTCTGAAAGGAGGATGTGGAGAAGCTGACTGTAAAGAGGTTATCTTCAGAGCAAGGTGTTCACCAGCTGACATTCTGTGGAGGTTTTTTGCAGTTGTTAGGAGAAAAAAGGGAAAAAAAGAAAAAGCCCACCCCAAAACAACCAAGAAATGCACTCAGAAGCCATGGTGATGAAGCTGTTGGAAGTTAAAATGGGAACAAAAAACTTCCTCGCTTGATTTGTTTTTTCAGCAGATACTTGTTAAGTAAAAACAAATCACATTTGGTGTCATTTCCGAGCCTAGAGAGAAGTTACATTTCACTTGGTGTTTTTCTCTGACAATTAAACTGATGAAGAAAGAGGTTTTAGAGGAAACGCTGGCAGATCTTTGCTATTGTGACACCAGCAGTTTATATTTAGTAACTTCAGGGAGGAAAGATCCTTATTGTGCTAAAAAAAATACCAGTGACAATTGTCTGGGCTTCAAAGCGCGCTGGAAGCAAGCCGGCGTCGTTCAGGTGCTGCGCTGGGGCCCGTGGCCCGTACCGAGCGTTAATTACACTTGGCAGGTTCCCGCACCGGCGGGGAGGTCCGCTGGCGATCCGGGGAGAAGGTGCAGTGTAGGGAACAGGTCTCGGCTGCGGACGGCTTGGCTTGTGCTTCGCTTTGCGTTGTGGGGCCCGAGGACGAAGGTCAGCGGTGAGAACCGGCTGCGGTGCACGTCTCTGCAGGGGCGCTCGGGTCATACAGGCTTTCTCTGTAAAAGTCTCTGCAGCGTCTTGTTGATAAGTGCTGTGTGAAAGCTGTGCTGTTAGTAATACCATCAAATCTCCCCGGCACGTGTGTTGTTTGTAACGTGGTTTTTGGGCAAAGTGCTTCTCCTGATGTCCCTTGGTGAGATAGGCCAGCGAGGAGACTTCTGAGCCAAAATGTCTCAAAGAGGGTGCTGGTTACTTGCTAGAAAATCCAGAAACTTATATCCCGAATGAAGCTGCTGTGCCAGCAAATGTCTGCTACAGGCCTGGGTTTGCCAGCTTCCACTTTTACCAGTTTGAGCGGTAACTTCTTATCCAGCCAAGTTAAATAAGAATGGGAAGCAAGAACGGGATATACTTCTAAGAATGGCGGTGTCCCACCTGCGGGTTGTGGAATCCTGGGAGGTTTGTTTGCTGTGTTTTCAACAGATGCGTAAGAAAAATGAGCCTGCTGATAGGCTCGGTGATCTGCACCTCCACTGGTGTTGGGATTTGTGGCGTTTTGGACACCTAAACACTTGCCACTGGCTGAGCTGAAGAAACTGGAGTTGTGGTATGACGCCAGGAATCAGAATGGAACAGGCAGTGTTTAAATGAAAAACTAAAGCATCAAAATAATATTATTCTAAATAATATTTTAATTTTTTTATTTAATATAGTGGCTTAAAATAGAATCATAGGATGGTTTGGGTTGGAAGGGACCTTAAAGATCACCCAGTTCCAACCCCCCTGCCATGGGCAGGGACACCTTCCACTAGACCAGGTTGCTCCAAGCCTCATCCAGCCTGGCCTTGGACACTTCCAGGGATGGGGCATCCACAGCCTCTCTGGGCAACCTGTGCCAGTGCCTCACCACCCTCTCTGGGAAGAACTTCTTCCTGATATCTAATCTAAACCTCCCCACTTTCAATTTAAACCCGTTACCCCTTGTTCTGTCACTACAGGCCCTAATACTTAGCAGTAGTTCGCTATTGGCTGTATGGTAGTTTAAAGCACTTATTGGGGAAACCCCAAAATTTTCGTTAATGTCAACGATTGCACGTGTTTCTGTTACACGTGAGCATGCGGTATAGGTGCGTATGAGCACGCGCGATTCTCATGTATGCTTACTGCGTCCTGCATCCAGCTAGCCTCTGTTAAAAAAACCCCACCCTTCTGCCTAGGAGGAGTCTAAAAAGAAGCTATTTTGACAGTTTTTCCACCCTACCTCTTCACATAGCCTTAATATATTTGAATGGAACAATGAATCTCACTTTGCGATAGCACTTGAAGCTGTTCGAGAAATAATGCTTACACTTGTCGCACAAAGTGATTCGGGAGTTTAAGTCTTCTGAAACAAAAGGGATTCTCCAAAATTCCGAGAAGCACTCGGAATCCACGTTGCCACTTGCAGAGCTATTTCTTTTTCTAGACTCTTCTTAATAAGGTAGCAGAACCTCGGCTTGGAACACTGTCATTGGGGATTTGTTTTCAGAATATTATTAGTAGCATTTGAGTGAAGTGGAAACAAACCTGTGCTCTGAAAAGAAACTGGATCTTGGGGAAGGACATGCCAGGAAGAGCCATGAATTTAAATTCTACAGGGATGATTTGCTATTAAAAAAACCTCAAAGCAACAAACAAAAAAACCCCCACAAACAAACAAAAAAAACCCCCAAATAAATTTAAAAGCTTAGTTTGTGAATAAGAATCAGAACCGTACATGTGAAGATATGACACATATACCCTAGTAAACAAGCAACAAACAAACAAAAAAAAACCCAAATAAATTTAAAAGCTTAGTTTGTGAATAAGAATCAGAACCGTACATGTGAAGATATGACACATATACCCTAGTAAACACCTAGCCCTGTGTCATGTTTCAAGTATGAAACATGTATCTGGTGCTTGGAAATGTCAACATCGTGATGTTTAGAAAGCAAAAATAGGCATTTGTTTTTGATTGTTCCCAATGTCGGGGCTGTTCGCTGCTGGAGGTTCAGAAATGAGATTTCTTCAGGTGTAACCACATCAGTTTAGTAGGCTGGAGAGCAGCTGGAATGGACCTTGTGTTCTAAAGCTGCCTTGGAAGTGGAAATGATGTAACAATTCAGAAGGAACTTGTTCCTCAACTAGTTTCTACTGTAGAATAAAGTTAGGCCTCAAAGGACGCCTTCAGTTTGAGAATTCACCTACATTAAAATATGACGTTCATGGGGGGAAACCAGATGTAGCCGTGTGACTTGGTTGTGTCTGCAGTGTGTAAAGGCAATGGCATGTGTGCTGGGGAGCCTGGCCTTAACTTTACTTTATGAATTACATTTTGGGATTGTTGCTTGGTCGGGTCATGGGTTCTGGTTTTAGTTCTGGAATGTCACTCAGAATAAAACCGTGGGGGTGGCAGAGGGAGAGCTATGATGGTTATACTTTGGTTAGAAATGGCAGTGGGAGGAAACCTGTCTTTATAAAAAAAAAAAAA